TGTTTCGGTTTGAGGAGCAGCAGCCTCTGTGTCTAATGGGTCATTAGGAGCAGAGTCAGGAGAAGGAGACCCTTTGGCTCTTTTAGCCATCTTCTTGACCTTTTTGGATTTGGACTGAGAAGGTTCCTCTGCCTCAGATTGGCGTTTAGAGGATCTTCTCTTTCTCTCCTTCTTTGGTTCAGTTTCTTTCTTCTCCTTTTTCTCCTTTTTGCTTGCCCTCTTGCCACGGTTGGCAGGTTGATCGAGGGCGTCAAGAGCAGCACGCTGTTCATCGGACAGAACCCTTGGAGGCAAGGGTGTTCTGGTGCTATAGTCAGCTATGATTTTGCTGTGAGGCGTGACGCACCTATACATGGATTCAGGGGATCAATCCATAATGGAGAAACTTACTTGGATCAGAGACAATGATCTTCTTGGTGTGGTAAGTGGCAATTGAAGCCGTAAGAGCATCCTTCATTACCGGGATTTCAAGGGAATCCATGGCCCTTTTGGTAATAAGCGTCCAGAACCGGCCGCATGAGATCTCGGAGTACCTTGTAGTTGTGTTGAGGCTCTGAACGACTTGAGACCAGATTATGGAGCCATAATCTAGATTGATGCCGTTGTAAAGACCATACAGGATGGTCAGAAACCCTTTACTCGTGGTGTCAGAACCACCACACCTCTCCGCTAATCCCTTGATAAGAAGGGTAAGCAATCCGTTCCACTGAGACGGAAGACAGGATTTCTTGACTTTGGCAATGGTAGTAAGAACATCCATATACCCCATTTCGTACATCATTGAAAAGAGTTGCGCGGTGGTGATAAAGTCCGGTGAGATGACGGAAGAGTCGACAGCAAGCCCTAGAAGAGAGCAAAACCTTGTTTTGAATACAGAGGTTTTCTTGTCGTGAATGGTGAAGAAGATGCGATCTTTGTGTTTGTCGTAGTTGGCCGTTGTGTAAACTTGGGAGAGCAGGGACATGGGAACGGCCTCCACCTGCGTGAGTGCCAACAACAATGGGGAATATTTGAGGCATTCCACCACGTGTAGCATGTAGGAGTCATATAAGAATGGGGTCATCTCTATAATCAAATTTTGATTAGGTTTGATTGAGAGCAAAGAGGAGGATGCAGTTTGATCTTGGGCTGAAGAAGAAGTCGCCATTGTTGAGTTGTGGAAGAAGATGAACAGTGGAAACTTTTTCAGAGAGAGAATTCGTGAGAGGTAAATGCCAAAGAACATGATCACCCCTTATTTATACCGTTCACAGGAGAGAGAAAATCGTGATGATGAAGAAACCAAAACGTCGCCTGAAAAAGCGCGATTGGAAGTTATGGTGTATCCCAGGAATACGTCAGCACACATGGGTGTGAAAGGAATCAATTGCACGCGCCCAAATCATTTTTGTACCGTTTGAAATTCCTTGTGCCCTTGTTTGGTTACATCTTAAACTTAAAACCATATACCAAACAGTAATCAGAATGTTGGAAAAAATTAATTTTCGTGCATAGGAGTGTGAAAGATAAAGAAATAAATCAAAGGTGTTTGGGATGTGAGTGTTGTCTAGTAAGAAGACAGAAAGCGGAAGATTCCGGGCAAAAATCGCTTCCTTCAAAGCCAAGAGAGACTTGAAGTGCTTGTGTGGTTTCCCGAGAAATACGATCAGTTGTCTGTTAATAAACAATGAAAGGCATCTTTTGATCATGGGCTGAAGGGTGGCTGACCTCTAACCGAACATCAAGTCTTAACATAAAACTGAGTGTTGGTAGAGATACCTGTGAGACCGATGTGATCTGTTGAACAGGTAGGTGGGAATTATCGCGTGACAAGAATGGGATAGACAGAAATCTCAAAGAAAAATAAACTGGACCTCTTTGGGAAGAAATGTCTTAGGTGGAGACAATTTCATAAAAGATCACACAAAAAGAAAATGAGATTTCCAAGTAATAGCTTGAGTTTATCGCTCACCGTCAATTCATTTCAGGTATTGGATTTTGGGTTTCACTTAGAACGTGGTAATCGAATCCAAGATCATAAACACAGATGTTGTGCAACCATAAGCCTCAGTGGTAAAGACCGAAAGCATCAAGGGTTACTTTGGGGAATCAAAGGTAAATGAAGAAGTTGAGGAGATGGTTAAGAGACTGAACGTACCTTCTGCTACAGAATAGGGACAGAGCAGAGCAACTCATGTTTCAGATGAGTAGAGTAAGGTAGCTCTAGACCGAGTGTGAGAGAATAGCCTGATTGGGAAGAAACGATAGGTATTGATCGAATCATTAAGGCCTGCTCGAGGTCATAGAGGCTTGCGACAACATACAGCAGCATGCTTCTAGGGACGTCTAACTAGTCTGATAAAGATAAAACATACCTGGGTAAACACTACAGAAGGAGATGCTTGTATTCACCTGTGCAAAACGTACACCGACCAGAAAGATAAAATGTTTTTGTAATTTTGGGATTTTTCTGAAAAATAAATAAAAACGGAAAGATAAAATGTTTTTGGAATTTTGGAATTTTCTGAAAAATAAATAAAACAGAAAGATAAAATGTTTTTGGAATTTTGGAATTTCTGAAAAATAAATAAAACAGAAAGATAAAATGTTTTTGGAATTTTGGAATTTTCTGAAAAATAAATAAAAACAAAAAGATAAAATGTTTTTGGAATTTTGGAATTTTCTGAAAAATAAATAAAAACGGAAAGATAAAATTGTACAACATAAAAAATTGAGGAAGCAGAGATTGACCGAGCGATCTGTGTATTTCGGTGACAAATTCAGAACCGACAGGAACCGAGCGGTCTGTCTAGTTCGGTTCAGTAAATCATTGGAGCAGAGAGAGACCGAGCGTGCTGTTGCATTGGTCCTAAATTTCCAGAGAGAACCGAGCGATCTGGTTTTTCGGTTCCTTTAAATTCCATCAGAGAGAGACCGAGCGGCTGGTTGCTTCGGTTCCTTTAAATCCAGAGCAGAAGAGACCGAGCGGTCTGTTTGCTTCGGTTCCTTTATTTCACCAGAGCAGATAGAGAGACCGAGCGGTCTGGTTGCTTTGGTTCCTTTATTTCACCAGAGCAGAGAGAGACCGAGCGGTCTGGTTGCTTCGGTTCCTTTAAATCACCAGAGCAGAGAGCAACCGAGCGGTCTGTCTCGTTCGGTTCTTGATTCTTAGATGGAGATTTGAGGATTTGGTACCGACTCTCCAACCATCATACCCAAGCCTTGTAGAATTTTATTGAAAGTCGTTTCAGGAAGAGCTTTGGTAAAGACATCGGCCAATTGATCAGTGGTTCTAACAAAGTGTACTTCAACGTTTCCGTCTTCCACGTGATCTTTGATGAAGTGATACCGCAGTGCGATGTGCTTGGTCTTGGAATGCTGCACTGGGTTATGACAGATCCTAATTGCACTTTCAGAGTCACAATATAGTGGGATCTTTTTCATATTGAGTCCATAATCTCGAAGTTGACTCTAGATCCAAATCACTTGAGAGGTACAGGAAGCAGCAGCAATGTATTCGGCTTCAGCAGTAGACAGTGACACGCAGGTTTGTTTCTTGGACTGCCAGCTAACTAACTTCCCATCGAGGAATTGGCAACCGCCAGTAGTGCTTTTCCTGTCGAGACCACAACCACCAAGGTCTGCATCTGAGTAGGCTTGAACGAAGAAGCCAGAATTAGAAGGTACCACAGACCTAAAGAGGTAGTTCGCTTGAGATATCGGAATATGTTTTTCACTGCAAGCATATGAGGTTCCCTTGGATTTGCCTGAAATCGAGCACAGTAACAAACGGAAAACATTATGTCAGGTCTGCTAGCAGTAAGATACATTAGAGAGCCTATCATTTGACGATAAAGAGTAAGATCAACAGTTGGTTTGTCCAGGGATGGAGTGAGCTTAGTGCCGAATGCCATTGGGACTTTGACTTTTGAATCTCCCATCATGCCAAATTTTGCTAAGAGATTCTTGGTGTAAGCTTCCTGGTTGATAAAGATTCCTTCAGGTCCCTGTCTTATATTTAAACCAAGGAAAAAGTTAATGGGACCAATTGAGCTCATTTCAAATTTAGTCTCCATCAGCTTTCTGAATTCAGCTGTTAGGCTTGAATTCGTGGAGCCGAAGATGATATCATTGACGTAAATTTGGACTATCATAAGGTGGTTACCTTCCTTTTTACGAAAGAAGGTTGGGTCAACCGAACCTTGTTTGAATTTGGACATCTTTAAAAATTTAGTCAGCGTTTCATACCAGGCCCTCGGTGCTTGTTTGAGACCATACACGGCTTTATCCAATATGTAACAGTGATCGGGATGCTTTTCATTCACGAATCCAGGAGGTTGCTCCACATACACAGTCTCTTCGAGATCTCCATTGAGAAAAGCACACTTGACATCCATTTGAAAGACCTCAAAGTTTTTGTGAGCAGCATAAGCAAGAAATATTCTCACTGATTCCATCCTAGCTACCGAAGCGAAAGTTCTTTCATAGTCAATACCTTCCTCTTGACAGTATCCTTTGACGACTAAACGAGCTTTGTTTCTGATAACATTCCCTTCCTTGTCGAGTTTGTTCCTAAGACCCATTTGAGACCAACAACCGAGGCATGAGGAGGAGTTGGAATAAGACGCCAGACCTTGTTCCTTTCAAATTCATTCAGTTCATCTTGCATTGCTTGAACCCAATCAGAGTGATCAAGAGCAGTTTTACTGTCTTTGGTTCAACTTTGGAAACG